GTAACCGGAGGCTAAATCCAATGTGCTGAAGTAGCGTGCTCCCCCCACTGCGTCCAGGGGCTGATCGATTCGTGGAAGCGGAAAAGAGTCTTTTCTAGTAACCGCGTTTAATCGACGGTAATCAACACAATGTCGGAGTGCCCCGTCACATTATTTTACCAGAACTATAGGGGATGCCCAAGGGGAATTCGATGGTTTGATCACTCCTTGTTTCTGCATTGACTCGACCAAATCTTCCAACTGCTTTCGGTAATGCACGGGAACCCGTCGTGGCGCCAACCGCAGCGGGTAGGCGTTGCCAGTGTCAATGTGATGTTGCACCTGCCTGGTGCTCCCGATTTCAATTTCCGTCCAGGCAAATGTGTCGTTAAATTCATTTAGTAGTTCCTTTAGTTCACTGTAACTAGGATCAGATGATGATGGTGGCAGGAGAGACGAAGAATCGGAAACTCCCACGAAATGGGAAGATCTGTCTCCGCAGAGGTATAGATCACAGAACGGTACATAATCCTCGTCTACGGTCAGCCGTCGTCGTGGAATGTCAATAGAAATGTTGTGTTGATAGAAAATCAATTCCTAAAATCGCACACCATGGAAACTCGCCGACCGTGATCACTGGATGTGAGTATCTATGTTTTTCCAGTGTCAGAGTAGCCGGTGTATAACCCTTTGAAACTATGGTAGTCCGTTTGGCCTCGACTAGCTTTGTTGGGATGGGTCTGTAACAATCTACATCCTTGGGTACAACCGACGCGCGCACTAGGGAGCAGGGGGCTCTAGTATCAATCAAGGCTCGTACTTTCCTACCACACAAAGTAATCACAACCAGTGGAGTAACAGGGGTGTCAAGGTGATTTTTCATAAAACAGATCGGTATAGAACGAATGGCGGATGACTCACTTGGTTTGTTATGCCACAAGCTTGGACTTTCATGCCGAACCGATGACAGTAGCCGCAGTCAGCGACATATGTTTTCTGCTCAAGGCGCAGCGGTCTTCTGTGCTGAGGAGTGTAGAACCTCCAATTCGGGAAATATGGCGGTCGCCGTGGCCCAGATTTCGGTGCTTATATCGGGGC